TGTCTGTCGGTTGTCTGTTGTCTGATGTCTGTTGTCACATGAATAAAAAGGTTCTGTCTGCGTAACATCGTCTTCAGGCGAAGATACCAAACGATTTTCGTATCAGAAAAGTTTCCTACCTGTTGTGTTCTTATCCCTTACCCAGATCATTCAATGTATGTATTGGACTTGGTCGGGTGAGGCCTCCTGCGCCGGCAGGAGGGCCTCGCCATGAAGTAACCCTTTGGGCTGGGCGCTAAGATGTTCCCAGCCCCAAAGTGTTTGAATTATCCGTAAGTTCATGAATATAATACGTATTTTTGTAGGGAGGGTAGCATGGTCTCAAATATGTTTCTTCTCCTCTGCTCCGGCGTGTTTCGTAGACAAAAAGGGGACTAAACTAGGTAGAATCATTTTCCAACATCCTTCATGGGATATATGACTCTTCCCGATCTCGTTCCGGAATCTGGATTCGCCTCGAACCCGAGATTACGAAAGAATTTCCGTGCCACAAGAAAATATTCGTACTTCGGGCTGGGGTCGTTTCATTGCCGCACAAAGTTTAAAAAAAATCGAAAAAATTCGAAAAACAATTCCTCGACAACCGTATTTCGACGCGCCCGAAGTGTCGGTACATTCATGGCCATACCGTTCAGTCTGACACAAAGGAGATCTGCGGTAAACGCAGCCAGTTTTTGCCACCAGAGAGGTTCGGCAACCCGTTCCCTCGTTGATATGCGAAGTCGAACTTTGATTGTCACGAGAACTTCTCTTGTTGTTAGTGTTACGACCGGCATACGTATGCACGTCGAAGTAGCATGAACACAACGCAATGATAAAGGTCGTGTAGCGAATACTTTCAATAACCAAAAAAGTGTCTCAAAATATATTTTGTATGCCTTTGAAAACGGTATTCGTTGTCCGCCTGTCGTTTACCCCCTCCATATAGGATAACGCTGCTCGCGGTATCAATCTCGGGCTGAGGCTCCTACGTCAGGGAGTGCAAGCGAAAATAGGGGTCACAACCGGATCTGCATTCGCCGGAGTCATTGGTGAGTTGACAATTATGCAAGACATCCCTGTCGAGTGATGTTGCAGGTAGTGAAACCGTTCTCTGGCCAGCTTCGGTATTCCGAATTCTTCTTCGCAATCTGCCATGGAACTAGTCAGAGACGAAGATGACACAAGACACACCAAAGCCCCCCTCATGGATGGATAACCTATTTTCCTGGGCCGATTTTTCCATAGCGGGACAGGTACCGGTGGTCCCTATCTTAGCGACGTTGGGGGACACTTCACGAAACTCTTGCTGAAAACATTTTGCCGTTCGATCGCGTAGTCATATTTTCAGGGGAGATAATCCCGATGTCAACTTCAAGGGAAACCCCGAGTGGGGGATGGTAAAGTTGCACTTCACCAGCGGCGGTATCAATAGATAGCAATGGTGATCGGGGTAGCCTCTTTTCGTTTCAGAAACGCCAAATAAATCAATGTCGAGAAAAGTACCAAAACCTGGGAGAGGAGTGGAGGAGGACGTACCTCTTTTGCGCACTACTGTAGCACTCCATGACCCATTTGGGCCTTGGAAAGCAACGAAGCACCCGCCCCTCCCGGCCTCTCCCACATTAAACTTGACTTGTTTGGAAAAAATAGAGGTGTAAAGAGAGCACCACCCCGCTCCCGACGAAAACGGCAACCAACATGTATGTTCCCCCGCCCTGAATCCTCCCAAACCATTCAGCACATGCCCATCTCCCCACCTTGTATCAAACAAGGGGCTGCCTCTCGACAAGAGTACGCTGCGGTGGGGGACGCGGTGAACATGTCTGCGAGGCTCATGGGGAAAGCGCCGAGGAACACGGTTCTGTGCGATGCGAGCACGGCCAAAGAGGCGGAGGACGCATTTTCTTTCAAGGAAGCCATGCGAATGAAGGTTTGTTGTTGGCGTGTATATGTGTTTCGAATTGGTACGAAGAGATTGATGCAGCGGCAGTGAGAGCAGCAAGAGCGCCAAAAAACAACGTTAACGCCAGCAACAACAGCAGTATTGCAAGTGTCTGCTCGCATGCATAGGGTGGTTGTATGGTTGATTATTCTGTCTAGTTCGCAGTAGAGCACGAGTGTTCGTTCTTGAGGTTATATGTGCACAGTAGTGCGTAAGAAGTGGGGCCTCTGGCTTTCAAAGGACACGAGAACCAAGGCGACATTCGCGTGGGAGTTTCGTTTCTCTCCGTCTCCATTGTTTTTCGATGTGCACAACATCCCCCTGACCAA